AAGTAAAAACAAAAAGTCGGCTAAAGTTGTGTGAAAGTCAGACTAATGGTTGAGGCGCTGTACGGGAACAAAAATGAAAATGAGATTTTGCGCATTTTTGGCGCCACAAGGAGTGCCGATATGCCAGAAGGCGTGCCGTGCCGTTCTTTTTGACTCAGACCACCCACAGACCCCATACCCCTCTAAAAACAATGTACAAGAGGAAAGCCTCAGCCTCAGGCATTGAAACTTCTACATGCGACTCTAAACGGCCTCGCTACTGGTTGAGGATGAACAGAGACACCAATCTTGCTACTCAGTCCACCAGCTCGCACAACTACCATGGTGTAAAAGCCACACCTATTCCACCTGATATTGATGATGGTCAGGTTTCCACCAGCACAAAGGACAGGCAAATTTGGTCAGAGGCTGAGGAAGTTGGGTTGATTGCGTATATAACTAGCAGGCGAAGTGAGGGTGGAGATGGGATGAATTTCCCAAAGAAATTCTGGCCAAAGGCTGCTGTGGAATTCAATCAGAATATACAAAAGGCTCATGTAGTTTACCCTGCAAAGGAAGGCAAGCACTGCTCTAGCAAATGGGGAAGGGTGCCTACAATGTCAATTTATTAATTGACGGTTTACTTTAGCCTGCAATTAGTTGTGATCTACCTACAAACTCGTCAAAGTGTTATCAGAGCAATTGGGCTTTCATTGGGATGATACTAATGGTGCAGATATCACAATTGAAAGCAACACTGTATGGGAGGATACCTCAAGGTATGTGCTCACTTTTTAAAACAATATCTGCATCTTATCGGTCTGTAGAAAAACCCTGGTGTCAAGGGTTTTCGCAACAAGGGTTGGGTCCATTTCAAAGCAATGGACAATCTCATATCTGGGCGTCATGCCAAGGGAGCAAATGCATTTTGCCCTTCTCTCATTCCTACCTCTGTATCTAGTCTTCCTGTATCTACCAATGCCCCAAATTCTTCGTCGTCCATGTCCGGTAGTTCCCTGCCCTTTCCCCCGCAAACGCCTAGGAGTGATCAACCATATCCCAACAACAATCCTCACCTCACTATGCCAACTATTCCTGCTGGCCCACTGTCGATGATGAGAACTGTTGTTAGAAAACCACACACAAAAAGAAACTAACAAACAATTCTCCCAGATTCCATGGAACTTGTTTATGGGCTTTGCCTCCTAGAACAGTGGGTGCTCTGGTTGTTCGTGGGGTGGTATGTATGAAGGTCCTTCAAAGTAAAACCCAGAGAGGTATGGGTGTGGGTTTTGAGGAGGAGGGATAGTTGAATTTATAGAAGATGGGGGCTTAATGACGAGTATAGATGAGCACTACCTTGCTAATTGTAGCACAAAGTAGGTTTGAGAACAACAAAGATGATGAGGTGACAAGGTTCCCAGTGATAGCAGGCTCCTGACGCACAAACTGTAGTGCTCAGAAGGACTCTAATCAAAAGGGATGAAAATGACTTCAGAAGTTGGAAGTGACGATGACAGCAGTTAACAGTGGTAGAAGTGGGAAGTATTGTGACCACACTGGATCACAAGTAGCAGAGTAGTGAACTTGAGAGTAGAGAAGAAGTCTGGAATCGAGTTCTTTGTTGTTTTTACAAGGTAAAATACAGGGGTTTATATAGTGAAAAGAAAGGTAGGCTATGCACAGTATAGCTGCGCAAAAAGAATGAGAAAGAACATGAAGGAAGGAATGTACGCTGACGAATCCTGCGTAGTTGCTACAGGATAAGATCATCAAAATAAGGGAAAGAAAGGGATAGAACAATGAATGCTGTGAGTAATGTCACAGGTTTGTACAGCCATAAAGTAAAGTCCAATAGCAAAAAGAGAGCAAGAAAATCATGATGTCATGGGAAGATGCAGTAAAAAAAGGGCAAGGAAAAACACTATCAGTATCAACACAGTTCCTTTATTGTCAGTCAGGCATTCTAAAAAAATATGTGTCCATAAAAATGATTCAAAAATCAAAAATAATTGCACTGTAAATGAATGTTCTGCTGAAGAAAAAAAAACTGGAGCCACCGGTCCACCACCTAGTCCAAATCCGACAGTTCCATGGCCTTACCAATGGACTGGTTGTGTTGGACCACCTGATCAAACGAGGGAGGGAGAGGAGTAGTTCCAATTTGGAACAAGTGAGTCCCAGGCAGCGTGTGGTAGGTGTAGCTGTAGCGAAGACGATGGACAAAGGATAAGTGTACCCAAGTGAATGGGACAGCGATGAACATGGGCGACGCGAGGGGATGAACCTTCTCCAGCTCAAAAACTACCCACCCACGCTCCAACCAGGCAAGACGAGTGACCGATGTTTTGATAGTATGTGATGGCAGATCGACGTCATGAAGATGGTGTTAGTTTTGGTGATTCTGCACCTTTGTGCTACCTATATATTTTCATTCCTTTCTCTATCTATTCTTCTATCATTCACTATTGATTGTGTTCTCTATTATTTCGCCTTTGTGGCTGCTTTGTTTACCTTTGTTTACAAAACTTCGGACAGTATTGCAGAGTCCAATGCTTCCTATTCTCTAGTTACTCACATTGGACTCTAGGTACTGTATACCTGTCATACTCTCTAATAATATAGTTACTCACATTGGACTCTAGTTCCAGTCCCTGATTGCTCTCAGCAAGTGGCTAGACACTTCCTTCAAGCTTTGTTCTTAATAGATGGACCTGTTGCCCTATTTGGACCGGCCGCCGGGGCTTTGCTGATATCCACGTGGTAGTCAACGGATTGGCGACGGAAGCAGATAGGAAGTGGTGACATCAGAAATGGTGGGGGTGCAAATAAGATGAGGAGGAGGAGGGTGGAGGTGACGAACAAGTGGATTAGAATGGGGATCCAGAAACGACCGTCAGGTGAGAATAAAAAGGAGAGGAAGGGGCCCATGGTGGGGCTAGGCAAAGGAAGGGGAGTAAGGGAAACGACAAAAGTGAGGGCGCAATGCAATGTGTAGCCAGTGGCGACGCGAAAATTTGCCGAAATGCCGAAACGCGGAAAGTACCGGATGGAAAAGCAAAGGTGAGCGTGACTGGATTGCCTAATAGAGGTGGTGCTGATCAGCCACAAGTTCAAAAAAGGCAATATTAATTACTATTCCACGTGGCACTGTGCCTGTGTGGCGCAAAGGCGAGTCTTTTGAATATTCGCTTCATTATTGACACTTGTCCATGCTACCAATCAACTTTGGTGCATGACATCGGGATCAAGTTTCATATGGGGGTCTTCAAGATGAGCCTCTTTTAAGGCGTTAACAAATGCCATGGCAGTCTTGATGTTGTCTAGCTTCGTGGTTCAAGTCAGGGTCTACAGGTCAACATCGTCAAGTCCAAATGTTATGGGATCTTCGTATAGGTCACCTTGGCTTTCATGTTGATAAGGTTGACTGTTGTATTTTGTGCACTCAGTCTGGTGCATGAGATCGCATGCAAGTCTGTTGATTGAATCAATGTTGATACTCTCAACTCTAAATTGTGGGAAATGTTCAGGATTGTATTAGATTAGATATAAATATGCTCATTTGTGAGAATTCTATGTAATTCAGTACAAATTGTTAGTCTTGTCCGAACTAAGGGTGGCGCGCGGGAGCCCCCCATTTAGCACCAATAAAGCTTACAAGGTGAGTCTGAGAATGGTCGGCAGATACCACAAAATTGGCATGAAACGGCCACATTTACGAGAAACACAGGTCCACTAAAATTCGAGTACATACTTACATGGCCCCTATGAAATATCAGCAAGGGCAGTCTACTACTTATTCTTTATGAATTGTATGCCTTTCAAAGGCTAAACCAGTGAAGTACTGTAGCATGATAATGATAATAAGGAAGCAATATACAGAAGACCCAAAACTGTGCTAGGAAATAAACTAGACTCAAAAAAAAGCTAGATACCATTCATATTGTCAAAACCCTTATTCCTTGATAAATATATATGTGGCTCCTGCCTGGATAATGACTTTTGAAAGGCAAGTCTGAGGAAAGTGTCGTACCTCTCCCCCAGTATTACAGCCAAACAATCCCACACTGATAACAAATTAATAATATAATTACTCAAACATAGTAATATCTAAGTGCATGTGAGATTGATCAACAAAATATATCAACTCAAGGCGTCTGCGCGTGGTGGGCATGTGCGGTAATACATTGCGCTCGTTGTTGTCTTCTCCCACATCATCGGCAAAGTTCCCCTCATCAAGTTGAATTGACACTCACGCTCAAGGCAATGACTGGCGAGCTGAAACAAGGATGCCCCCTCCCGCTCCAAGCTCTCCCCCCATCGATGGTCATTAAATTGCGCCTGGTAGAGGATACCGTCTGCAAAATCCTGCAGTAATTTTGCACGAGTCACCATTGTTTCACCTACAGACCAATTCTCTATCCCTCCAACGTCAATAATTCCTTCATCACCTGACTCCTTGTCATCTCGGATGTCTGAATCCCCTTGTCCAGTAGCCATGTTTGTCAGCAAAACGGTGTCATCATTATTCAAATGGCCGGTTGGAGTGTCCAGCAAAATGAGCGCTGGATGCTTCCAGAACGGCATTGTTCAATTACGCTTGACCTCAAGGAAGAACAAGGGGGGGACAGGATGGACATCTTGAATAAGATGCTTGCAGAGGAGAAATTGGCTGGTACTGAAATATGGGCAGGTACACACCCAGGTGAGTGTGTTCGGTCTGTATTTGTTGTTCAACGGCATAGTAATTGGGGTTGTTGCCACCCGTTTCCAGTCCCACTTGAATGCCTTGCGCCATGATGCAAGTTCTCAATATTGGCCTTTGTTATCCATCAAACGGTCTAGCTTGCGATAATAGGTAGGCGCCAGCTTCATGACAAGGACCCATGCCAGAAGGTCAACGCATGGTTTGTGAAAATGGTGAAGAATGTCATGTTTGATACAACGCCAACTATTGAATGTAAGTTACTAATGTCCCTCGTTATGTGTAAACTGACTTACTGGCTCTCTAGAATCATTGTGGCCTTGAGCACTGGAATCTCATCATGATATGATTGTGCCCACAATTCCCATCGCTCTAGCCTGTACCAGTTCTCCCAGAGGTATGCGCAGGCTTCATGTAGATCATTCACAATGCAAAATTGATACATTTGCTTGACTGCCCAGTCACAAATCCCTCGGCGGCTTGGGTGCGAGTATCCAGGGATGAGAGGATGGGCACAGAAATACCTTTCCATCATATCAATGATCTTCTCCCGATGATTTTTGGGACAGAATGTGCGTTTTTCCTTTGTTGTCTTGTGCTTGATTGATTCCAACTGGTCTACAGTTTCCTCTTTAGGCCACTTTGGCAACCTGATCATCAATTTCCTGTGGCCAGTGGTCTCATCACCGTCACACTGACAGTCGGTTTCAATGGGTGGTGTGCTATTTGTTGTCAGTGGTGACACCATCAATGGCAGCCTAGGTATATGGAGGGGAATAGTATTTGGGGTAGGGCAAGGAGCTTCGTTGACTTGCAACACATCTGGGGCACCACCTTCATACTTGGTCATGTCTGCTTTTCTGGGGGGAACAAATGTTGTGTTGATGAAGGCAAATTCTGCATGCGCACGTTGGGGATTATATGGAGTTGTTGCCAGCTTATTTTTAGCCAGGCGCTCCTGCATTGCTTGTCGTAGGTGCCACCAGCATAGTTGAATCTTTGCGTCCCAGATCTCTCGGAGCATGCCAATTTCAGCCATGTCCTTATTGACGTGCGTGAAGATGGGTACAACACCATATGTGTCATGTAGACACTTTACCCATGCTGTCAAGGCTACCTTCCGCTTGCCAATGTCTAGGGCACTTGCTGTGGATAGTACGCAGTATGACAGGGGAAACCCTGCATTGTCATATTCTCCAAGAACACTGTAGAGTTTGAGATTCTTGGAGTTTGTATTATCTGTTAGTCAAGGTCAGTCTTGACATCATATGCAATAGCGGTGATTTCTTACGCGTTGCGTCGATTCAAATCTTGACAACTTTTCCTTTTAGCCGCTGTGCAATTTTCTTCATGCCCCAACACAGCTGTTCAACACCATCCGCTACTTTGATATCAAATAAATCTACGTCATCCTTGAGCTCACTGAGAAGGATATACACAGAGATAAGTTGGACAGGGTCCTTCTTCCAAAGGACCTCGCCCATTTCCGTCCATGCCCTATGGACTTGTTTTCCTGTTATGTGAGGATACAGGGCTTGTACCTTGGGCGTTATTGAAACTGGAGTGCTCCACTCAATATTGTTGCGTATGATCTGGATTGCCTTAGGCGGAATGGTGACATCATAATAAGGTTTGTGCCTCTGCTCATGCTTGAGTCGGATAGTCACAACACGAGTTCCAGAAGTGCATTTCACGCATAACACATTGAGCTGGCTACCACAGTCAAACCTCTGCATGCCAACATGATCACAGTGTTTAACATCAGGCTTTGTGCTTGGCTTGGCTTTTTTCTTCCTCCCGTCATCCTGACAGCACCACAGACGAGTTTTGTGGCCATTTTGAGTCTTTGTATGATCCTTCACCCTAGCCACAGATGTCAGTGATATAACAGGAGGACAGACAGCTCCTCACGTGAATTGGTACCCAGTGGTCTTCCATATGTCGCTAATGGTCATCTCAACTCTTTTTTTATCATCGACAAATGGATCTTCTGCAAGCTGGTAGCTGCCGAAGAAGCTCACACTCTCTCTGCTCTTGAAGTCTTCTTGGAGTGCGCAAAACAATGTGTTACTGTTTTCATAGACTTTTACGGCCTGCTAACATGGCTTAGTTAGCTCCTTACTTGGTGAGTTGTAGATCTACAGTTCCAGGGCCATCCTCGTCTGAACTGTCATGCCTTTCAGGTATTGGAGGTATGACCTCAGGGGTCCCTTCCCCAGTAAGTCTACCCACCTCATCTGTAGTCTCCTGGTGCGGAGCAGGTGCCTGACGTGGAGGTGGATCTGTGTGTTCGTCACCTCTCCTTTTTGTTTGGTGTGCAGTGACAGCCATTCTTGCTTTTTCTCTACATGAGGAACACATCTTGTATGGCAGGCCATTTCTACCAATGTTTTGCTCGGGAACTATGTTCTTGCATGATTTTTGTGAGCATTCCATTAGGAAAGTATAGAGGTAGCAGGCAATGTAGAGTTGGAACTTGAAAACACATAGAAATTATTGCCAAGTACAGTCAATTATACGAAATTTAGAAGTCACGTGGATTTCACGTGACTTTGTTTTGGCTGTAATACTGGGGGAGACCAGGGCCAGCTGTCTGAGGATGCTCTTGCAGTTTGAGTTAGCGCTTGCTGGGTTTCAAGTTGCTGAGTTTATGTTGAGTTTCTGCTGATCTCGGGTTTTGGCGAAAAAGTTTCAAGAAGTCGTGTTATTGACACCGAATGAGGGCTCCTGTACGCCACTCTTAGTTCGGATCAGACCTTACTGATTTCGACTGTCTTATCAGTAATTTGGTCTGACTGGGGAGACTAACAAATTGTGTCGTTTCCGACTGGGACTGAAGACTACTATTGATCTGAATTCAGCCGTAACCAAACAGATGAACCATGCCCATCATGAAGCTCAAGGTCAGCTGCTACTTTCCGGTGGAGTCCACCCACTTGTCACTTGTTCAATCCTCATTATTTTTGCAGAGCTCGGCAAGCAGTTCGCCAAACTATCATCCAGCCCCTCCCCATCTGCAGTTGTAAGGAGCGCTGATGCATTGGCAAAGTTCCTCAATGCCGATGGCCATCCTGTGTGCCTCGATCAAGTCCCAGCCGCCATGTTCAGCCCGCCACTTGCGCACCTACAACGGGCCCTCGCCGAGCTTGGCGATCTCGAGGTGACCGAACATGATGTCAGCCACGCGTCTAGCTTCCTCAGCAGTACAATCATGTCTTATCACAATGAGGACAGTCGCCGGAACGCCATTCGGCAACACGTAGACCACTTAATCGGGGAGCCTGGTCAGTGGGAGGAAAGGCTTGACCGGGTGGGGAACATCCAGCCTGATGCGAGTTGGTGGCAAGGTGAGTTCCCTGTCACAATCCTGAAGCTGAAAAATGCCCCTGGTATTGGCGGAGATCCTTTTGTTCAAAGTCTTGCCGACTACAGCAAGATTGTGTCGGACCCCCAGGTGCGGCAGCACGCATCCACGTTCGTATCTCCGTTGACGTGTTCTTTCTAGCTTGCGCACTTTCAAGGATCCTGCAATTTCCCTGTCTTGCTTCTCGGTCTCTCGGGAAATCGGATCGAGATTGGTGTGGCTGTCTGTGTTGGCTCTATCTACGCATCCAGGCTAGTCGCCTTCAATATCACCCCCGGATTTCACTTGTCCGAGAACATCATCCATGCGGCTCGAATCTTCAGGTGCCTTTCATCGTGTCGAGCGGCACTGGCAGCGCACTACCGCGCAGTTCAGGGCAACCACGTAACTATTGCGGCAATCTACCCTGACCCAACCTCAGTATCAGGCAATGCATTGCCGTGCCTGACCTACCACGGTGTCCTCTTGCGAACCGGCGAGCACGTTTCGACCAGCTTGGCAGACCTGGAAGTTGGGACCACCGCGCTGTACCGGGCTACCCTTGGTGACGCTGCTACCCCTGATGGTGCTACCGAGGTCGTCGTCAAGTTTGCGAGTCGATACGGTGAAGCAGCCCACCGCCTCTTATCCGATGCCAAACTGGCCCCAAAGCTCCACTGGTGCGAGCCAATCATCGGGGGCCTTTTTATGGTCGTCATGGACCATCTCGAAGACGGTGCATCAATCTGGCGACTGCGAAACAGTTCAAGGCCCAAACCTGTTCCCGAAGCTGTCTTGAGGGATGTTAAAGGGGCACTAAAGCTCTTGCACGAGAATAGGTTTGTGTTCGGAGACCTGCGTGACACGAATGTTGTTTCTTCCAAGGAGCAAGGGTTTCTCGTTGATTTCGATTGGGCTGGGAAGGAAGGAGAGGACAGATACCCAGCCGCGCTCAATGAAAATAATAAGTGGCATGCCGAGGTTCGTGCGCACGCCGTTATGAGCAAGGCGCATGATGATTATCAGTTCGAGCAGTTGGAGGCTCAGCTGAAGTAGTTTGTTATATCCTTTCAAGACCTTTTGTACCATAGCTCCCAAAATCGCATTACATTTGTCACCCACTCTTTTTCACCGGACTTTCACAGAATGTGCAGTTGGGAGGGATAACATGACTTCTAGTTCTCGCACAGGTTTGATATTACAAGTGCAATGGAATAGGCTGCTAAAAGCTTGAACGAGCTGTAAGACTTCTCATTTTAATCTGACGTAGTTACTTGCAGATAATCCAAGAGTATAGTGATGCATTGAATCATCTTTATATTCTTGTGGTGCACGTGTAGTAGTACCTAACAATAATTAATAGTATTGAGTAGAGAGGATACTGACAATGAAAAATGGCCATCTATGCTTCCGACTTTTCTTTTTCTTCCTCCGTAGGATCGTGGATAATCCTCATAGAATCCCACCATTGTGGTCCATACAAATAGTACAACACTCCAAAAGTCGCGCCGCTCAAATGCGCATAATGATCAAACATCCTGTACCAGAGCCAGAGATCAGCAAAACAAAATCAAAGCAGTAGCAATACAATCTCTTACTTCCAACCACGCAATATACCAATAGCGTCCAAGGCTATAATAGCACCCACACCTGACTGGATAGGAATTGCAAAGAACGGGAGGAATATGAGGCTGATACTAGCATCAGGGAATGCCAGTGCGCTGAGTGTGACAGCTATTAAGAACAAAGCTTGAAGGAAGCGTCTAGCCACTTGCTGAGAGAAATCAGGGACTGGAACTAGAGTCCAATGTGAGTAACTGGATTATTAGAGAGCATGACAGGGATACAGTACCTAGAGTCCAGTGTGAGTAACTAGAGAATAGGAAGCATTGGACTCTGCAGTACTGTCCGAAGTTTTGTAAACAAAGGTAAACAAAGCAGCCACAAAGGCAAAATAATAAAGAACACAATCAATAGTGAATGATAGAAGAACAGATAGAGAAAGGAATGAAAATATATAGGTAGCACAAAGGTGCAGAATCACCAAAACTAACACTCCCCCCTGATACTGCACCTCCCAAGCATCAGCTCCCCCCTGATCTACCAAATTTCCAGTGTTTTTCATGAGTGAGGGGTTTAGTGAGAATGTCTGCAACCATATCTCCTGTAGGAACATATCTGATTACTGCCTCTCCCTTTGATACTAAGTCATCTCGGATAAAATGATATTTCCGTTGAATGTGTTTTGTGTGAGCACGGTGTCATGCACCAAAATTGATTGGTAGCATGGACAGGTGTCAATAACGAAGCGAATATTCGAAAAGACTCGCCTTTGCGCCACACAGGCACAGTGCCACGTGGAATAGTAATTAATATTGCCTGTTTCGAACTTGTGGCTGATCAGCACCACCTCTATTAGGCAATCCAGTCACGCTCACCTTTGCTTTTCCATCCGGTACTTTCCGTGTTTTGGCTCGGCAAATTTTTGCGTCGCCACTGGCTACACATTGCATTGCGCCCTCGCTTTTGTCGTTTCCCTTACTCCCCTTCCTTTGCCTAGCCCCACCATGGGCCCCTTCCTCTCCTTTTTATTCTCACCTGACGGTCGTTTCTGGATCCCCATTCTAGTCCACTTGTTCGTCACCTCCACCCTCCTCCTCCTCATATTATTTGCACCCCCGCCATTTCTGATGTCACCACTTCCTATCCGCTTCCGTCGCCGATCCGTTGACTACCACGTGCCACTGCTGATATCAGCAAAGCCCCGGCGGCCGGTCCAAATAGGGCAACAGGTCCATCTTCATGACGTCGATCTGCCATCACATACTATCAAAACATCGGTCACTCGTCTTGCCTGGTTGGAGCGTGGGTGGGTAGTTTTTGAGCTGGAGAAGGTTCATCCCCTCGCGTCGCCCATGTTCATCGCTGTCCCATTCACTTGGGTACACTTATCCTTTGTCCATCGTCTTCGCTACAGCTACACCTACCACACGCTGCCTGGGACTCACTTGTTCCAAATTGGAACTACTTCTCTCCCTCCCTCATTTGATCAGGTGGTCCAACACAACCAGTCCATTGGTAAGGCCATGGAACTGTCGGATTTGGACTAGGTGGTGGACCGGTGGCTCCAGTTTCTTTTTTTTCAGCAGAACATTCATTTGCAGTGCGATTATTTTTGATTTTTGAATCATTTTTATGGACACATATTTTTTTAGAATGCCTGACTGACAATAAAGGAACTGTGTTGATACTAATAGTGTTTTTCCTTGCCCTTTTTTTTACTGCATCTTCCCATGACATCATGATTTTCCTGCTCTCTTTTTGCTATTGGACTTTACTTTATGGCTGTACAAACCTGTGACATTACTCACAGCATTCATTGTTCTATCCCTTTCTTTCCCTTATTTTGATGATCTTATCCTGTAGCAACTACGCAGGATTCGTCAGCGTACATTCCTTCCTTCATGTTCTTTCTCATTCTTTTTGCGCAGCTATACTGTGCATAGCCTACCTTTCTTTTCACTATATAAACCCCTGTATTTTACCTTGTAAAAACAACAAAGAACTCGATTCCAGACTTCTTCTCTACTCTCAAGTTCACTACTCTGCTACTTGTGATCCAGTGTGGTCACCACACTTCCCACTTCTACCACTGTTAACTGCTGTCATCGTCACTTCCAACTTCTGAAGTCATTTTCATCCCTTTTGATTAGAGTCCTTCTGAGCACTACAGTTTGTGCGTCAGGAGCCTGCTATCACTGGGAACCTTGTCACCTCATCATCTTTGTTGTTCTCAAACCTACTTTGTGCTACAATTAGCAAGGTAGTGCTCATCTATACTCGTCATTAAGCCCCCATCTTCTATAAATTCAACTATCCCTCCTCCTCAAAACCCACACCCATACCTCCCTGGGTTTTACTTTGAAGGACCTTCATACATACCACCCCATGAACAACCAGAGCACCCACTGTTCTAGGAGGCAAAGCCCATAAACAAGTTCCATGGAATCTGGGAGAATTGTTTGTTAGTTTGTTTTTGTGTGTGGTTTTCTAACAACAGTTCTCATCATCGACAGCGATGAAAGAATTAGAAGACGAGGGTTTTTGAAACGACGGACTACCCCGATGTTAGTACCGTCGAAAATGGCAACTGTAACAATAGCAACGATCAATGCCAACTCTTTACAAATCGATTGCTCGTTAAAACAGAAAACCATCGGAACCAAAGCCCTGATAGATTCAGGAGCTACAGACGACTTCATAGACAAAAAATTCGCCATTAAACACCGACTCCCCCTCCAAAAACTCCCAACCCCTATAACGTGTAAAAACGTTGACGGAAGCACAAACAAAAACGGAAAAATTACGCATTGCACCTATCAAAGAATAGACGCAGGAGGACAAAACAGGTTTAGGAAGTTCCTATTGATCGGACTAGACGGAGAAGACGTATTGCTAGGCTTCCCCTGGTTACGAAAAGTCAACCCGGTCATTAACTGGAAAGACAAAGAATTACCGTACTCGGACAAACACTCAATCAGGACAAACCAGACTACCACAGAAACAAAAATCAGGACAACCACAGTAGACGAGGACAAATACAAAACCATTCACAGATACGTATCCGACCACACACCCTATCATCGAACCACGATTCGGTTAAAAGTCAACTTGGCAATGGAACACGCACAAATACACAGAAAAAAAGAAAAGGAACATATCCTCCCAGATGAATATAAGGGCTATTCAGACGTCTTTGACAAGAAGAAATTGGAAAGACTCCCCAAGCAACGGGAATATAATCATGTAATCAACATGAAACCGGAATTTGTACCAACAGATTGCAAACTGTACCCACTGGCGCCAAAGGAAGATGAAGCGTTAACGGAATTCTTGATGGACAACTACAGAAAGGGATACATCAGGCCAAGCAAGTCGCCACAGGTGTCCCCCTTCTTCTTCATTGGCAAAAAGGATGGATCACTCCGACCATGCCAAGATTACAGAAAACTAAACGCATATACCGTAAAAGACCCATATCCACTACCCCTGATACCCGACCTCATTGAAAAATTGAAAGGAGCCACCGTCTTTACTAAACTGGATCTACGTTGGGGATACAACAAGGTAAGGATAAAAGAAGGAGACAAATGGAAAGCTGCCTTCAAAACCAGCAAGGGAGTATTCGAACCAACGGTCATGTTTTTAGGCATGTGCAATTCCCCAGCGACATTCCAAAGGCTGATGAATGACAAATTCAAAGACTATGTTGATGAAGGCTGGATGATCATATACATGGACAACATCCTGATCTTTGACACCAATGTCGAAAGACTCCGCATCTGGACAAAACAAGTTCTACAAAGGCTACGAGAAAACGACCTATTCCTGAAACTTGAAAAATGCACCTTTGAAGCGGAAACCATTGAGTACTTGGGAATGATTGTTTCCCACAACCAGGTATCCATGGACCCAGCCAAACTCGCAGGAATACGCGATTGGCCAACCCCGAAAGACACCAAAGGCGTACGGAAGTTCTTAGGTTACAGAAACTTCTACAGAAAGTTTATAGGCCATTATTCTGACCTAGCCCGACCCCTAAATGCCTTGCTAGAAAAAGACAAAAAGTGGAACTGGACAAAAATCGAAGATGACGCTTTCAAACTATTGAAACAAAGATTCCTCGAATCCCCTGTGACCCAAATCCCCGATTCTTCGAAACCATCGAAGATAGCAGCAGACGCGAGCAAACACGCCACCGGAGCCGTGCTAATGCAACCAGATGATCAAGGACAATGGCACCCGTGCGCATTTTTCTCGAAAACCCTATCCCCCGCAGAGAAAAACTACCAGATCTACGACAAGGAACTTTTAGCGGTAATAAAAGCTCTGAAGGAGTGGAAACACCTGCTTTTAGGAAGCCCACACACGATCCAAATTCTAACTGATCACAAGAATCTGACGTACTGGCAGGAGGCCAGGAAACTCACACCACGACAACGAAGGTGGCAGCTGGAACTGTCACAATACAATTACACATTAGAGCACGTACCTGGAACCCACATGGTGGTACCTGACGCACTCTTGAGAAGACCCGACTTGTATATCGATAACACAGACAACGACGACGACACCCCAATGATACCAGCGTCGGCGTTTCTATATCACACCAGAACAATAAAAGACACAATAGAGCAAGCAATGCTCACCAACGACAACTACCCTGGAAGAACGAAAAAGGAAGATTGGCACAAAGCAGAAGGACAGTTCTTCTATCAGAACAAACTACTGATCGACACTGCAGAAGAACAGAGAACGATTATCAAAAATCACCACGATTGGCTAACCGCAGGACACCCAGGAAGACTAAAAACCTATCAACTAATAAAAAAGTCCTATTGGTGGCCAGGAATGATGAAACAAGTAGAGGAATACGTGAAAGGATGCGCAACTTGCCAGCAAGCCAAAGTAAACATGCATCCGACCACGGTACCGTTGATCCCAAATCAAACACCGAAGACCAGTGAACCGATGAAGTATCTCTCGGTGGATTTCATTACAGACTTACACGAGTCTATAGGGTATGACAGTATAATGGTTGTGGTAGACCAAGGACTTAGTAAGGGGGTAATCCTCTCACCTTGCCACAAAACCATCGACGCACTCGAAACTGCACGAATCTTCCATGACTCCGTCTTCAAACGGTTTAGACTACACAACAAAATCATATCCGACAGAGGCCCACAGTTCGCCTCTGAAGTATCAAAAGAACTCCACAAACTCCTGAACATCAAAACCGCACTCTCCACGGCATACCATCCACAGACTGACGGACAAACAGAACGATCCAATCAAGAGCTAGAGATCTACCTCCGCATCTTTTGCCAGAATCAACCACACAGTTGGGCAAAGTACCTTACGACGGCCAAATTCTGCCACAACCAACGGCCACACTCCACGAATAACCAATCGCCGTTCTACCTCCTCATGGGATACGAACCCTGAGGAATCCCAACTAAACACCGATCCACAAACATCCCGTCAGTAGAAAAATGATTATCTGAACTGCTTAGGGCAAGAGAGAATGCTCTAAAAGCACACAAACTAGCGAGAAGCAAGATGATGAAACAAACAAACGGAAAGTTCACCAAATTCTCAG